ATTGTAAGCATGTACATGCCAGAATAATGCATGTGTAAACTACGATGTAGAAAGCAAAGGCACAACAAGGTCACTACACCCAGAATAGCTACATAGATCAGCTGCCCTAGGTGGGATTCAGCATGTGTAGTAGGGATCATAGTGTCCCTTGATCATAGGTACTATACGTCCTACACACCTGGTCACGGTGAGGTGGAGGGTATGTCTTCCTCAGCCAGTCAATCTCTGAGACGGGAGTGGTCCCTGGACCTGGGGTCCTCGACAACCTGGTGCCACTATCTGTATTCACATTATGCACTCACTATATACAACTCTCTACTCTTAGGGAAGACAGAGAACATGAAGTTGGTCCATGCCTTAAACAATGCTCTTGACATTGCCATGGAGACCGACTCCACTGCAGGTCAGACACTGCCCACCAACTACAGCATGTGATCGATCCATTCTTTTAACCCCTGACACCCATCACAACACAAAAAGTGTCCATTTTGTTAGAAGAAACACACTATTATGCGATAGCCCATACTGTTGGTGCTAGTAGTACACTCTAGCACTGTATATATTTCCAGTTCTACGGCAATCTAATCAGCCAGGTGCTCTAGAGGAACGTCTATTTTAGGTTGTTTTGTCCAGTAGCATATACAGTACCTTACGTTGTGTCTTGCACTGTACGTGATGTAGTCCATAGTCAGACTGAGTCTAACACATGTTTGCCGTCTCTCCTCAATGCAGCCATATTTGGGAAATACGTGGGGTTTGGAGGAGTCTTCCGCTGCTCTGCTAATCTCAGAGATAAATATGGTCAGTAATCTCTAGGACTGTGTAATTCACCCATTGTTCATTAGTACACAACTGGTTGTGAATCACGTTATGGGTGTAGTTGCTTTCCTATTGCCTTTGCATTCGGGAGTTACGTCGTGAAAGACGAGCGAAAAAAGCCAATATGCTAATTAGAACAGGCTTACAGTACCTCGAGCGGGTCTGCTTGCTCTGATATCTTGTAGGCACAATAAGTCACAACGAAGGGTGTGTATCGACTCCCGCATACTGTATCTACTACTGTAGCTAGCCGATGTCAGGTGGGAGACCACGAGTAAACGCATACTAATAGCCCAGCCTATCAATTAGCGCTATCATGCGCAGTTTGCCGAGGGGTTGCACTTTAGTGCTTTTCATTTTTGTTTGTGCGGATACATGACGTACATGTATATTTCTCCAAACCTTTCTTCTTTATTGTGTGGTGCTGTAACAGTATGTCCCTCACACTTAAGAGAAGTATGAATATGGGCCGGAACTGGTTGTTTCATACTTGTTCTTCACCCATTGCAGGCAGTAACAGAGTATTCAACACCCCGCTATCAGAACAAGGGATTGTGGGGTTTGCAATCGGTCTGGCCACTCAGGGCTCCACTGCCATAGCTGAGATTCAGTTTGCAGACTACATTCACCCAGCCTTTGATCAGGCAAAGTGATTGGGATAAGGGAGCATGAGGTCAAAGTGCTCTTTTAAAGGTCCACTTTTTTGCTGGTAGGAAATGTTCCACCTTTGCTACATAGCATAGTATAGCCACTAGTACAACCATTGATATTATGTACACACCCCATGTACATACATATTGTTGAACTGCACGGTTTATCTGGTGGTGGTAATCTCTATGCGCAGATAGTTTTGAAGATACATTTTCGAGTCCACATTTCCTTTTGCTGATGAGACTTTGCATTCGAATAACCATAATTAGCACAAGAATCCCGATTACCTGCGATCACAGTGCCTTCATATTCCCAAAGGTGTTACATACAGGATCAGTCATTCACCTCAGTATGTTTGATAACGTCGCCATAGTGTGCACAAAAAAAGTAACTGGTGTACTACGCTCCTCCACCCCCACCACTACCTCTGGCACAGGTGGTGAATGAGGCGGCCAAGTACCGCTACCGTTCAGCCAGCCACTACCACTGTGGTCCGCTGACGGTCCGGGCCCCGTACGGTGCGGTGGGCCACAGTGGCCACTACCACTCCCAGAGTGTGGAGGGATTCTACGCCCATGTCCCTGGGATAAAGGTATGAGTACATACATACGTGTGTTTGAAATACACATTATGAGAGGGGCTTAGATATAGAAAGGGATTGTTGGTATCTGAGTGGATTCATGATGATGTAAGTGAAGGAATTAGTCATTCTCTCTGTGTACCCTACATAACATGAAAAATATCACAGTTCACTTAGTTTGCATGGTTGTGGTTAACAATATGTACTGTGGTTAACCCTCCATTATGCAAAGCATGTACAATATGCAGTGGATCTTCAGTAAAAATCACACACGAAATTGTCATGTGATAGTAACAGTACATTCATACAGTACAGTTTTGTATGTACATGTACAATACAGGTCACGTGACGAAAGAGTCATGTCATAGTATACATTCATACAGTATGTAATATATGTACATGTGTACATTGTTCCATGTATGACAGGTGGTGATTCCACGTGGACCAAGTCAGGCCAAGGGTCTCCTCCTGGCCTCCATACGGGACCAAAACCCAGTCTTCTTCTTTGAACCCAAGTGGCTCTACCAGGCAGCCGGTGAGAGACACACACAACTTGCACCTTTATGTACGTGGGGGGAATCTCATTAGTTCAGAACCACAAGTGCTGCGCTCAACTTTGCCTTTATAAACTCGTGGTGCCAGAGTGGTATGCGCTGCTGATGAGGGCCAACAAGTTGCATCATTTTTTTCCTCTTGGCATCACATGGTGTATTTTGTTTAACTCTATACACTAATACATAGTATATCAGTGCTTTTGAACTTACCGCTGTGCTGGTCACAGGCTGGCAATTACTTACCCTTATACTGGCAGGATCCCGGCCGGCGCCAGTCATGGCACGATAGGACATGGGGGGTATATATTGCCCACGTGACTGGGTGGCTATGACATCATGCATATGCCATGGTTGCCATGGAAACGCCACCCAGCTCACGTGATTTCCATTACCTCCCTTTCCCTGTGGTTTTGGGAGGAGCTATTGCCAAGCCCCTCCCACAACTCCTTGTGGGAGGGGCGCGGTAACCACCCACGCGAGCGACGACCTGCATGCGCTTGCGAAAGGCATGCCGCACCGGGAATTCACATCCGACGGATGGAGATTAGAAAGAGGCCTACACAGCTCAAGGCGGCATTCGGGACGGTGGTGGGACAAGAATTGCTTGCTCCGCTGAACTGAATGCTCTCTCGACTGCACTGGTTGCTCCCTCACGCGTGTTACGAAGCGGACAAAAACGTTAATTTAGATAATTCCGGTATACGTTGCTTAACTCCCACGCAATGAACCGCGCTCCGCTTTGCCTAAAACAGAAGCGTTCCTCGATCCCTGGACGCTACGCAAGTTTAAAAAAACGGTGCAGTTCAACGGTTCCCGTACGAATAACCTTACGTTTATCGGATTATAACAACTGCGCAATAATATCTTTCACCGAAACCTACCGCGCACGCTCTTTTCAGCTACACCCACAAACAGCTGCGTGGGTGTCGAAGTTTTTTCCGAGCTACTGCGCGCAAAAGGAAGTTTTTTTTTCACCCATATACTCCACACATGTGAAGCCATACCCATCAGCTGTCCGTAGCAAGAGTCCCAGTTCTGGTGCGTTTTTTCCCCGTTAAAATATGGACCAATGATTATACATTATTATAAAACAGTAAAGTATGGAAGAAACAGCAGAGAACCACACAGAGTTACTAGGAAAGCATTGTAGGGTGTGTGCAGGGAGGCTTCAGCAGGCAAAGAGCAGGTCCACCCCTTTCTTGTGCACCAGTCACAGAGAAGAACTGAGAAGTGCTTTTGGTATTGAGGTTGAGAGAGATGACATCAAACAGCACCCCACACATTTCTGTAATAGCTGTTACAGAAAAATGAAGAGAGTGTGCACACATAGAGCATCATCAACACCATACGCACCAACTTTGGAATCATTCAACTGGACACGGAAGCATGCCCTGTGAGAAAATTAACCTTACTGCATATATAATTGCGCGCTACATAATACACAGGTATGCGACCATTTCTGCAAGCTTGCACGTGGAGGTATATAGGGGGAGGAAATACGTGGCGAGAGGGAGACCAAGAGGACTATATAACGCCAAAGGCTGTGATTACCCACATCAATGAGATCGTTCCGGAGCCCCTACCAACATGCAGCAGCACTACACCTCACCCGTCTCTCATGTGCCCCTGTGTGCATGGAAGTGCTGATGTCACCAGCCAGTTCCTGGGCCACTACAGGACCTCATTCCCCCATGCAACAGTGATACCAAAAATGCATCTCCTAGAGGATCACGTGCTTCCGTGGCTGAGGCAATGGAGGTGTGGCTCGGGATTGATGGGAGAACAATGAGCCAAACACACTTCCACCACATGGAGAACTCCTACAGATGAATGAAGGATTCTGCAGCGACTGAATTACATCATGCACCAACACATGCTGCAAACGGCCACAAAACTGAACATCCTACAGCCCCCAGTCAAAGAGGAAGAGTTGCTGAGTCCGACAAACATTACATACATAGTGCACTTACCGAGCACGTCTTGTCCCACAGAAAAAATGCACCGTCTTGACTTGAACTGTCCCTTCTAGAGATGGGATTAGACGTTCTCGCAGTACAGGCAAAAGCGCAGGAAAAACTTCACGTGGGTAGAAAACCGGCGTCTAATACGAACAACTCCGCTGCGGAATGGACGCGTGTTACTCAAAAACCGCTTGGCTAACTTCACCGGACAAAGACGGGGGCCACTACTGGGCCATGTGCTAGGGTCTAAAAGGTCGAATGGAGCGTGTTTTCAAATCGTTTGTATGGAATAGGGCCAAACATTCCGCCTGTAAAACGGTTGCTAGGACGTTGCTACGGACATGTATGCGGGGAAAAATATTTCAGGGGTGTGTCTGAATGTCCGCGAAATGTATTGCGTGAAACACGCGTGCCCTGCAACCGTTGTTCATGTTTTGGCGCCTAAATGCCGCCGCGCGCCTTTGGGGCGCCCCCGCGCATGCGCGCATGCATCCTGTGTGTCGCGCGCGCCTATCATAGGCCGGCCGGTTGTACGTGCGTGCTCCGGCGGCGCGCGCGAGTCGTGCGAGCCATGCGAGTTCCTGCCGTTAACTACGGTTAACTGCGTTAAACTTCATTCATGTGGGGGGTTTGAAACCCAGCAAGGGCAGCTCTTCTTTTTTCCTTCGAAAAGAGTTTTCCTGGGAGCCGTTGACTTGTTTGCTTTGCCTTTGCCTTTCTACCTCGTTGTTGTCACATGTATTCATGCAGTATTTATCAATTGCAGTGTGTGTATTTTGTGCAGTTGTACGTATGTGTGTGTTTGTTTGCGTGAGGGGGAGTGGTGTTACAGCTGTTTCTTAAAACCTTCAGTCAGTGTGCTGGACACATAGAGTTTCATGTTCTTGTCCTTCAGGCTCATTCTTACAGCCCTTTACTCTACAATAGATGCATGAAAAGCACTAAAGTGCAAACCCTCGGCGAACTGCGCATGCGCGATACTTCTAATTGATGGGCTGGGCTATACCCGTGATTGCTTGTAGCTCGCGAAGAGTCTGACACGGGCTAGCTACAGTAGTAGATAGCATGCGTGAGTCGATACACGACCTTCCTTGTGAGTTCTTGAGCCCCAAAGGTACACAGAGCGAGCGGATCAGGTCGCAGTAAGCCCAGTGCAATTATGCATATTGGCTTTTTCACTTGTTTTCACGGCATATCTCTCGAACGCAGTTGTTTCAGGTAAATCGCCCTTTTATTTTTCAGGCTCGCCTAGTTCTGAAGCCGCTGGTATCTCTTATAGTCCGCCTCGTAGCCTGTAGTGCCAGAATAAGCGTCGACACAGACAGAGACAGACAAAACGACTACCGTAACCCTCACTGGGCACGCGCGTCGAGGGTTAAATAATTATGCTGACTCATATGGATTATGGGACATAATGCGAAAAAAATGTGTAATTTGAGTTTTTGTGCATAATCTACACTGAACCTCAATCTCAGGATTGGAGCAGGTGGACGTATGAAAGTGTCAGACTTTGGAATGGCCGTAGAGAGAGGTTCGGAGGGTTACTATCGAGTTGCCTCTGGGAAGATGGAGAAAGTGCCAGTCAAATGGATGGCTCCAGAGAGCATTGAGGATCACATCTACACCAACAAGACTGACGTGGTGAGCAACTTTGTATCATATTATTATGTTTATACCTCGCGTCTGGCTTAACATGGAGAAGTGACTATATAGGCAGGCATTGACAAATTATGCTAATTTTTTGCCTATTATTCTATTCCCTTATTCTCTTTTGCAGTCCCTATTATTCTTTCAATCCTCACATATTATTCTCAATTATTCCACATTGAACATCTAAAGACAGTAAAGTCTATTGCACATAAAAATCAATGATTCTCGCATATTTTGTCAATGCATAAGCATAGGCCCTACGATGGAGTTGCATACAAATTATGTGCAGTTCACTATTATTATTATAGACCTGTTTGTTGTCCTCTATTATTATATGCAGTGGTCTTTTGGTGTGACATGCTGGGAGGTGTTCACATGCGGTGCTGTTCCCTATCCTGGACTCAATCCACTGAATGTTCCACTGGAACTAAAACTTGGCCGTAGACTCGAGAGACCAAGCAGTGCTGTCTGTTCTGATGAAATGTAAGTATAAAGCATTTTACACAGTGAAGAATTCCCATAGCCCGCCCTTGTTTCTAACAACCATTACGCAACAAGGGAAGATCTGGTCTGAATTGCCGTTGAGGTAGATTTGTGGGGTGTAGCTCAGTACTCGTGCATAAGTGAAAGTTCACGATTCAGTTTGAGTATTCACACAACATTATAGCAGTGAGCGTGGTCTGTTAGTCGGTCGATACGTAAAATAATTTTTCCAGTTGCTCATAAAGGAGATGGGACGGTCAGTGTCCTTTTTTTTGGAGGATCAGTTTTTTCAGAGGTTTATTACACTTCCATAATAAAGTCATGTGGGCAAATATGGAGGTATATAATGATATATACATAATCTTTCTGCATTGACACAGATGGAGCATGCTGCTTCGGTGCTGGTCTGATGATCCAAAAGATCAGCCAAACTTCCCCACACTTATGGAGATATTGTTCAGTCTTCTGGACAGTGACCCCAACTACATCAATCTCATTTCCTAAAGACTTTCTTCTGTTTTGGTGACATTTTCTGTAGTAACTATGCGTGGGTGTATCAAAGTACCACCTGTGCTATAAATTCCATGTTGCAAATGATTGTGTTATATAATATGGAAAATGTAGTACGGTTTTGAATTTTCACTCCAGAACGCAAACTGCCCCCCACTCGGGAGCGAGTGTCACGTGATCCTGTCGCTCTAAACTCCCGTGAGATACACAGTGCTGATATATAATAAGTATAATAATAATGGCATGAAGGTGGTAATGTTGCATGCTAAGTCTCAACTACTAGAGTCTGTTTTTTGGTCGTCCTCTCAGGACCGTGTTGGTCAGAGGAAGAGGAGGAGGTGAGGGGGTTGTCGAGGGTTGCGTTGTATGTTCCCTGGAGAACCGTGTCCTTGTATCCCTTACTCAGCTGGGGATAAATCATACAGCAAATCTTGTTTCCAAATTCACGAACAAGTTGGACTTAACCAGCCACGGACACACAGAGCCTCAATAAGTCCATGTGAATTTATGTGGGGGTTATAATACTAAGCACTAATACTTTACACATCAATTTCTAGTTGTTTAAGGAGATACCCAAAGAAACAAAAAAAATAATAGTAAGAGGGACTTACAGAGCAGTGCTATTGCAGAACATGTGTTGAACTTATAGCGACAGTGCAACATATCTATGATAGTGTATTGGACAAATAATGAGAGTTGACTTACAGTGTAAGCTCCAGGACCAGGCACTTTGTTGCCGATGGGTTTAAATCTGAGATCTCTCTGACACAGGAGGCCAGGCTTGCCTCTTCCCAGGGGATTCTGGTAGTCGTACTGACCAGGACCTGCCACAGTGTAATACATTATAGCACTAATTCAACATTGCCTACATTAATATAGCTCAATGGGTACATGGCAATATAAAGATGTGTGTCGCAGTATGAAATCACAGCAGATTGTGTGAGGCAAGTGAGTGGGGTGAGAAGATCCCACCTGGATTCATGACGTCCGGCTCCTCCAGCATGATGTCTCGCGGAGGTGCAGAACGAGACGATGATGACAGGAACGCCCCTCTCATTGATCTCTTAGTTACCCTGGATGGAGCTCGATCTGTATGTATACAGAGAGATTACAGCCAGTCAATATTGAAAGAGTACTGCTCCTGGCAAAATTTATGTAATGTATAAAGTCATTATTTGACAATGGATGCTGATCGGGGAAAGTGTAACAAGAGGTGTATAGGAGGAGCTGAGGTCAACATATGTACACCACCGCACAACTTTGCGTGAAACGAAAAGGGATGATGCAAATGCGACGCATATTGCAAAATGTTGCCTGAAAATAGAAGCTTTGCGTGTTGCACGCTACTTGTTGCATGGACCAGTCATACAAAGTTCATACGAAGATAGTTGCACGATCGAGACTTTTGTCTAACGCAAAACAGTACGTACTGTGAATGTTGGCCTTGTAGATACTGGGTGTTAACACAGAGGGAGAGTTGGATGAGAGACTGACCTTGAGATCTTGAGTAGGACTCTGAGACCTCATAGGAACCTGGAGGAGGAATGTCCTACAGACAGGGAGAGAAAGTTTTTTTTTGAATGCTATTTCCCAGAGTTCAGGTCACACCTGTTTCTGGTAACTCGTGCTTGCAATACAGACAGACCAGCTAGTACACTTTGAATTTTGCAAACTGATTATCATTGCTGAACATAGCTCTACATACACACACGGCATGCACACACAAACACTACATGCACACAATAGTACGTAACATACATACTTTGAGCACCCTCGTGCCTATGCAGTACAGTGTAATATCATTGGCTGGCAAATTCTTTGAAATGTGACTTACTTGCACTCTGGAAAACGTGGTGTGGCAGATATTTGTATCGAAAGAGTGTAAGGAAATTATACTAAACCTTGAATGTTGACTCTACTGTATGTTACTATATATAGCTGGGCAGGTGCTGGTGGTTGTGGTTGTTCTCACAGTGACAATGGAGGGAAGAGAGTAGAGGCGACTGGTGGTGGAGGCAAAGGTGTAGCTGGGTTTAGTCTCCCGCGGCTGCTGACTCCGCCCACCGTCTCCCGGCTCGACAGTCTGCGACTCAGACGGCTGGTAGTGGGCGGGGCCAGGGCCGAGGATGACGTCCTTCTTAATTAGAGGGGCAGTCCTCACCGACGTGCTACCAAACGGGCACTTGTACGTCCCATGAAACCTGTAGCCATGTCAGCAGGATATTCACTATACGATGTGCAGACAGCACACACAGTTCAGGGTTTTACATGGGGGAAGGGGAAGAACCCTGCCTTCCCTGTGTTTAATTATAATTCTGCAGGGCAGTAAGTTTGGCTCACTCAAAGCTATCTGTATGTACATACATAAACTCATATACGTATACGTATTACATACAAGAAGCTTTGTAGCAAGTATCCTTGGGCATCTGGAGAGTCAAACAGTGCTCTGTGGTATAATTGTCCACTGTATTGTTATTTACAGTCCACTACGTAACATACACTTGTACACAATATATACGTAAGCTACAACGTTATCTACTAGAGACTAACTGAGATCATCCGGGAGAGGTTCAACAAACTAGCGATGTCATGTGATTGTTGTTGTAATCCCTGGACCTGCAGGTCAGCAACACCAAATACACACATGTGTATATGATGTACATAGACATAGGACCTATTGCAAATACAGGGACACTCTCACAGCAACATAGCTATGTGGTAAATACAGGTATTTCCCTGTCTCTTCTGTTTCTCCTGAAGCGAAGTGAGGTCTGTCCAAACGGAGCCTTCCCGTGTCCCAGTCTTCCCGCAGAGACGCAGAGCGAGGCTCCTGGTAGGTGTGCAGGACGGGAGTGTGCTTGGGGTCTATAACCTCTGATGGAGAGGTTTGAGCGAGGAGGGGAAAGAGAGAGTGGAGAGAGAGACAGAAGAGAGAGGTATTTAGGGAGAGAAAGGGGCGGCAGGGAGAGGAAAATGAGTTATAGCAGAAGAGTGAGAAGGAATACATATAAAGAGGCAAGGAAGCAAAAAAACTCTAAAAGTGCCTACACTGTAGGATAGAGGCAGGTGTCACGAAAACTTATGAAAACACCTTAGCCACCTTAAGTAATTGAACTACATAGTGCTTGCATCCCTTGATGCTACCAATGAACAGGCAATAAGTGTACATGTACTGTAGTATGTGATGGTTTCAAACACGACACTTTTTCTCGCGAGCCAAAAGGTGCGTCCTCTGTCTCTCTATTCCTCTATCCTCATTTGTCCCGTCCCATCCACCGATGGGTCCGTCTGAATTGAGACCTTATATCGTACCTTCCAGGTCCTGCACAGCCTGTACATGAATCACACAGAGTTTCAACACACACAGCAAGCGTATAAATAATAAAGAGGCTCTCGATACAATTTTATTCTTGAAAATCGCCCACGCACAACTCCAGGATCTTAAACTATGCTTGAATGCTACTAGAACAAGAAAATATTTTGTCCGATATTTAGACCTTTTTTGAATGAGTTTGGATCCCGTTGTACATTAATAAAGTATGAAAGTGCACACTACAGTACAGGGGTAACACTGATATTTGGCTACTTGTTGAAAGAACACTAAGTAAATTGGTGGTGTGATGTAGCACTGTATGTATACTTGGGTGAGTAGAGATAGGCTCACTTTTTTCTCTTCTTGTCTTGTGATGATCATGTGATATCGAGGCAACTGATGAATAAAAACAGTGCAAAACGCCACAGTTTATTAAGGGATAAAATTTTTGGATTATGCGTAGATAATGGGGTAAAGTTTTGGGAATTAGTCACATACACAAGTTAAGTTGTCTTTACACAAGTTCATTGATTAAAAGTTTACAACAAAGTTCACACAAAACTTTCCCACTCGAATCTTCACTTTAGCTACAGTATGCTTCAACAGAACGAAACGAAACGGAACGGAACGAACGGAACGGAACGGAACGGAACACACGTCGCTTACACGAAACGGAACGGCACGGCTGTCAAAAACGGCAAACGTATTGAACGATAATTGCCGTTCTCAGAAACGAAACCGCACGATTGGAAACGTTTTTTTGACGCATACTGTACGTACATATGTATGTACTTATAAGATTATATATGTGCGGCAAGCTATGTACAGATTTATGCAAGCAAGGTACTCATGTGTAAAATGTGAGGTCATATAAAACAAGGTATATAAACACGTACGCTCTTTGAGGAAGTTGCTTTAGTGTTGGAGGAGATGAGAAGGAGGGGAGACGTCAGCATGTCTTCAGTTGGCTGATGGTAATCTCCTGGTCCTGGACCTCCTCTCTGAGGTAGTACAGTAATACGGTAAGCATGTGTCAAGGTGCTGTAGTTATTAGGCAAAAGGCAAACAAGTCAACTACACCAGGACACAGCTGTTTTCTTTTCAAGGAAAAAGTAAGAGCTGGGTGGGATTCAAACCCATGGCACGCTGCACTTAGGCGAGGACCTACCAACGGAGCTACAAGGGCGACTCAGCAGGTTCAAATCTCAACACAATACAACACAAAGGCAACATTGAGAAAGACTTATTGGGTATGTGTACATTGTACAGTTGCAGAGTGGTAAGGTGTATGAACAAAGATGTAGGGTCATGGGTAGAAATGTTACCAAAATGGAGGTACAGTGTTTTACATTGTACTGTATACCCTAACACGTACCCTAAGTGGATGTACTTTGAACTGAGTTCTGAGAGAATTCTGATTCCCAAGTGAACTCCTCTGTACTTCTGGTAGTGACTGTGTCATCCTGACACCACATCAATCAAATACATGTAGTGTAGTATAATGCTGTGTATATTTGTGTATGGTATGTACATGGTAGTCACGGATACAGACTAGTCAGTGCTGGAACCATTCACAAGTACATGTAGTACATCATGAAATTGCGGGTTCAACTATTGCCATATCGATGCCAACTAGGCGTGCAATACCTACATGTAGGAAGATGAATCATTAGTCACACACTTATAGGCACATGTAAACACACACGGGTGTATGCACCACCTCTACGTACAAAGGCAGAGAAAAGCAACAAAGGCAGACAATACACGTACAAACTCGAGCACCAATTAGTGTATACAGCTGTAGCGTGAGGCTATTTATATCAACACAAACAACAACAAGGTTGCATGGCAAAAACACTGGTGTGTGTAAATATCTGTATGTTTGTATACATGGGAGACATTGTAGTAGGCTGGTCCCATAGTAGAGTCCTGGGGAGCAGTGGCGAGGGTTAAATCCCCGTCACCGGTCTCGTCGTATCGTAGCTCTGGCCGGGAGTAGGGATGGAGGAGCTGTCTGCTACGTGTGACAGCAGTCTCCCTGACTTGATCATCCCATTACTCTGGAACAACTGACACACGAAAAATTGTAAGCATGTATACATGCCAGAAATAATGCATGTGTAAACTACGATGTAAAAAGGCAAAGGCACAACAAACAAGTCAACTACACCAAGAATAGCTAGATCAGCTGCCCTAGGTGGGATTCAGCATGTGTAGTAGGCTCATAGTGTCCCTTGATCAGAGGTACACCTACACACCTGGTCACCAGGTGAGGGTGGAGGGTATGTCTTCCTCAGCCAGTCAGATCTCTTGGAGACGGAGTAGGTCCCTGGACCTGGGGTCCTCGACAACCTGTCCCGGAACCTCTCAGCCTGCCGGGTAGAGGGGATGAGAGGGAGAGAGTATGACAGAAGAAAGGAGGAGAGGAAGGAATGTCACTGCAGTAGCCTCTCAGACCCGAGGTTACATAGAAACAAAGAAAGTTCATTCCAAATGCGTATGTGTCCTTCCATTGCTGTGACTATTCTTTAGCATGCGACAGCTTTGTACAATGCGTACATTAGATACATAGTCCTATTGGTGGGTCTGAAAAGCTACAGTATATAGTGAAGAGATCGTAAAACAGAATTCCAATAAAACTCTTAGTGACACGAAAACACAACATAATTTGCAGATGATGGAAGCAAAATGAGATTCTACACATAATGTGAGTTGATTACACTCAAGGAAATTCTATATAGAGTGCGAGGAATAATATCAGAATACGTAGGTGTGTTATAAAGAGCACAGACCTTGCTCTTGAGAGAGTCACCTCCCTTCACATGGTCCTCCAGATCCGGAGTGTAGTGGGAGGGGCCAGGGGCAGTGGCCAACTGCTGGTCCACCGTCAGGAACGACTTCCTCACAGCCATTGAACAGAACGGAGCATAGCTCTCTAATTGGACAACATATTGTGTTAACATGTACACATACATCTAAAACGTACCACTATGACAGGAATAAAATAATATAAGCAAACTTCCTAGAGATGGCTTAAGTGTCTCGCTAGGGAAAGTTAGGTGACTGAATGTTCAGTAGCTACCTAAGCTGCATAGCTACCTCCAGCATGCCTCCTCCCATCGTCGACCCGGTATGTCCCGGGACCCACTCCTGGAGCCGTGCTGAGGGCTGGCTGAGTCAACAGCCTCACTCCTCGACCGTACATCTTTCACCCAACACCCGCAACCTATATGAAAAAAGACATCAGAGAAGCTAACAGCAGCACACAGAATCGTACCTGGCCGGCCGCAAGGCGCTCTCTCACACGCGGCATGGAAAAGGCCGTTCAACGTTTCCATAGAAACCACTGTCACGTGATAATGTTTTTCTAGAGAGCTAGCTAGTAGACCTAGCTAGCTAGGGCCTAGGGGGAGGGGGGCGAGAGGTCTCTGGGTCTGGTGTGTGGTAGTACTTGTGGTAGTTAGTGCCCGCCTGTTTTTCTGCTGAAGTTGCTGTGCCGGAGGGATGTGGGACCCTGCCGTCCATTCAGAAATCCTCGGTTAGCCAATCATTAGTGCAAACGGCGTGACATTTTATTCGGTTTGCCACCATAGATCGAGTCCCTTTTCTAAAAAAGGAGACGGTGACACCAGACGATGCCTTGTACCTGGTGGAGAACCTTCTACCAACAGGGATAAGTTCCCGTAAACTGGGTCTCACACTCGGACTCCCAGAAAAAGTAGTGGAGCATATCCACCACACGTTCTCCGAACCAGATGAACGCATGTTTCACGTTTTGATCGAGTTCACGAGGCAATCGGAGTCTAGGCCAACGTGGAAAGCCTTTACCGACACTCTCAGAAGACCTGAAATTAATTTATTGTCGCTAGCAGAAACATTGGAAGCAGTCAATGCTCCTCTTGATATTCCTCATTCTAAAAGTGCAGGTAATCACCAAACAACCAATGTTGATACACATTGTACAATACAGCCATGTGTTGGTCCATGCAAAATTTGTTCCACTGGAATGTCTGCAGCAGAAAATTGGTCCCTCTATGTCTAAAATACATGTAGGTCGTCCTAGGACTCTCTATGGTACCATTGATAGCCCCCCTCCCACCGCAGCCAGCAGTTCCCATAATGGAACACGTGCATGCCTAGTTTTCTGCTGAGAAACATGGGCGACTTGCGTGCATGGTGTGACTGCTATTGCGCATATATACTGCCTGGAGGAATCATGATCAGAGCTAGTGAGCGTAGTGGTTGAATTAGCGCAATCCACATAAGAACTGTTACCTGCGAGCAAGGAAAGTACACGGCCAGTAAGCTAGACAGCAGACAAACAAGTTACATAGCTGGCTCAACAGTTTCTGGATGACTGGGTCTTTTAAATGCTGTGTATGAATGGTTGTGGAATGACACGAGGTATCCAATATCTTAATTATTAAGGGCCTGAAATTTATGACTCGCCCAGGCTGGTGATTTCCCAGAAGAGAAAGTCAGGTCAAAGCTGAATTAATTACGGTTCGTTAAGGGCATGTTTAAGGCATTTATCAACACCACACACACAGGTTCCTTTGCTGAGTTTTGCCCCTTCGGTGTTTTTCATTCCTTCTGTTGTTGTATATGTATAGGTTATACGATGGCGGCACATGGTCTACCGGTTGTACACGAGTGGTCTATACTGAAGCCACGAGTGTGCAACCAGAAGACCACAAGCCAAAGCCATCGTATAACGTGTTTGTATGATGACATCCGGCGGTAAGGCTCTGACCAATGAGATTGCACAAAAGCTTTCAAAATGCCCTCTTTTTAACGCACAACCTCGAGTGTACCGAGACAGCTAGCTATCAATTGATCGGGAGAGAGACGGCTGCAATAAGCACTTTAGTTTAGTCAAGCTGGGTGGTTGTGCAGAAGCCATAGTCATTTCTCGAGAGTTCAACGTTACAGGTACGCCAAAGCTATACTTTTTACAAAATCACAAATTTGTGAACCCTGACTGGCGAAGTTGACAATCAAACTTTGCTAAATTCTACATTTGGTGAAGTGTACCTTGTTTTCTTAGAATATTTGTTTATATGATTTTGGGGAAAATCTGAAAATAAGAAATGGAACTTTTACTTGAGACACTGTTTAGGCTCCTGTATAATCTGTATAAATGATTACAAGTACTAGGTACAGAATGTGTTTGGCGAGCGAGTGTGAGCAGTTCATAGTGCGATCGAGCAGTTGAATATTTCGCGGATTTTTTGCGCGGATTTAGAATGACATACAATAATATTACGGTGCTAGTAGTGTATTTTACACGGGGTTTTTGCGTGTATTTAGAATCATGTTACGGTATCGGTGGCAGCCTAGTCGGATATAAATAAACAGAAAAATCTCCTGTTGTGACGAGGTAGGCTTGCTTCGCTCACCAATTATATGAGTTATACCACTTACACTGGGGTGTGCACCCTCAGGATTATGAACAGATTTCTTTGAGTATTTGTGAGAAACACCAGCAGTAGGCGTGATATAGTTATTTTATACTATGGTAACAGATGAAGAGCATTTTTGGACAATAGTAGGCACGGCTGTAACTGCAGCCATTTTTTCAGCTGCTGGCATGGCATGCACAAAATTATGCCATGAGCAGTTCCTGCTCAATTACAGGCGTCCTTGACTGGGTTATGAAGCAAGCTAGCTATATAGCTACGCTTGAAACTACCATGGTGTCAATAGCCATCGTCACGGTCACGCAGAAAGCAGTTGACGCTAACTCTCGTCTGTAGTGTAATAGGCCTAGAAGCGGGCTGTTTCACCAGACAAATGCTTTGAAGTTCTGGAGTCAGAAAGAACAATTTCAATATGTGTACCTCAATCAGCTCTTTTCCATCCAAGACTTCTCTAGGACAGTGTTTGATGCTTTGGATATCACTTGCTTCGCAGGATATCACACGGAATATCACAATAATCAGTCGGTTGCACATATTAAAAAATGCGCATAAGGGTCTATTATAGCTCAATAGACTACATTAGCTATCCGTATGCTGTCCTAATTATCTTTCAATTTTATAATCCCATAGCAAACAGTGTAAGACATTCCCCTTCTTTTGATGCCGGCCTCTCACCCATTGCAGTGCGTTAATATTTTTGTAGTGAAGCAAATGTGTAACTAGTGTTTTATTTAGACTCAACATAATGTTAGAAGAAGAAAATTGGTTCCTCATATGGCGCCTGAAGATTGTGAGTGTGTTTAATATACACATAATGTGTATGTTTCTCATTTCCATTTATTCCTCCCAGATACGAGGCTCCCCATAACAAAACAACTGTGCCTCTTGTGTGAGGATGTGATCAAAACCCATGTTAATTTTGGAATTCTTCTAAAAGAGATTCAGAAACACATAATCAATGATGCTGATGACGATGAGCTGCATCATATGCATCAATTGTCGGTGTCAGGGAAGATGAAAGATGTAGTACCCTTCCTGAATACACTCGATAGAATGAGAAATGGGTTTCAAATCTTTTACATGTGCTTGAGAAAAACACAGATTGTTTCTCCAGTGCATAGAATTGTTGCTGATGAGTTGAGGATGATAGGTACTGATTTAATGAAACCACTGGAGTGCAAAACCTTGTGCAAGAAATACGCTTGCACAGCATTAGTGTGCCCTTTACATAGCGCCATTAATTGATGAGCCGGGTCACGCTATGCTTTGCAACGTCAACAGAACCAGTTTCTTGCTGTAGCAAAGGCTTGCTGCGTGATTTAAGGCAACACTGAGCTACATGCAAATCCCTTGAGTAACTTTATCCCTCAGCGTTGGGCTAGATATGCCAGTTACTGGCATATTGGTTTCTCGCTGTTTTCATAGGAAATGTCACGAATGCCAATGTTCAGGAAAATGCCTTTTTTGTGCAGCACTTGACTACAGATTATCAGAATCTTGTACCACGGTGCGTGCTGGCAGATTCGAACAAGCAAGACATAAACAAGTAAGAAAATACATACGAGGTGTACTTACATGTACTGCTAGACTCTTCAGTGGTCTCATCAGTGCAGTTAACAAACGTTTCTAGTTTTGCATAGCTACCTCTGACACTGAACTGTCCCATTTGTACCTTGTACATGGTTCGACTGTAAAAGAGAATGTATATAGAACAGAGCAGAGTTTTACAGTATACATTCTGTATGTATGTGTAAATAGTGTGCTCATGATTCTGCAGGATCCTAGACACTTAGGTTTTCAATTTGGAAGTGACAGCGACCTGGAACCAATTGCCGAATCAAGTAATGAACCTTGTAGTCTTATCCTATATGTTGTATATAAAACATTTTACTGCACAGAGCCACCTTTATCATTGACTGGAGATGTGCCAAAAACTAGCCCACAACCACTTGCTTATGTGAGGACTACAATGTTGTAGCTGTCATTGCTTGTTCATTGATTATGGCTTTTTTGAAAGGGTAAGGTTGGCTTCGGATCAAAATATTTTAAGACGGTACGTGCTGGAAGGTTCGAACAAGCAAGAAGAGAATATAGTGAGCTAGGTATTATATATTTTCTAGTAATTCATAATTATTCTTTCAGATCATGATCAGGAACCAAAGATAACAGAATATGCTTGCGACTCCTGTATATCTGAAATCATCCTCTCTATCAATTTTACGATCCTTCAGCAACAGATTAAGATGCACGGAATTACAGACCAAATACTCCTTGGTGTTCTGCGAGGTATTGAACGTAGACCAAAAAGATACAGGCATAGAAAGAACCAAATTAGACACATGCTGCGAAGGCTAGAAAAAATAGAAAATGGTCTTCAGATATTTTACTGCAGTCTCAAGGAAACACAGGATACCTGCCCTAAACATGCTTATCTTGTGGACAAATTGGAGTGGAAATGTAAGTATGTTTTCAGAAATTTTGTGCACTTATATATGATGTACACTAGCGGGTGGGTTAAATGATATAAATATTTCCTTTACTTACAAACTACGTATTTGAGGGGGTGGCAAATTATTATCTTTGATAACTTATTAACTTTCATGCTGCTTTCCTTTCACACATGTAGTTAAAGGGTGGGACCATGACTCTTAGCTGTCAGACATACACCTTTGCTTGCTGGATACCTCATTGTTTGACGAGTGTTTTTGCAGCTAATTATGTGTGGCACTTACAATTCCGTCCATGGTCAATATTTAATTGGTAACATTTTGCATTACAGCAACCAAACATGGTATACGACCAAAGGTTGAGTCAGCATTCACAGGAGAGCCGTCTTTTGTCTACACTGGAGAGCACGTCTACTACTGTACACCTGGTATAAGTTTGAGGATTCCAACTGCCATGTGTGAAAAAGCAGTTAAATTTCTGTCCAAAATGTTCGTGATGACTACACCCTTCCTTCGGGGTATGAGAATATGCCTATTGTCAGTGATATGTACAAGATCACAGCAAGTGATACTCTGCCGTCTCTAGTGACAGTACGGATGGACCACTGTGCTGTAATGAAAGAGGAAGGTTCTCTTGTACATATTGTAGCACACGGCTCCCCACCTTACCGATTTAAACTCTTGTATGGGGGAATTTTTCCTCCTGATAAAACTTACGGGGAAATAGAATTGAAAAACTTCAGTATTTTAGCAATACTTGCCCATAAACTTGGGTGGAGAATGTCGCTATCCGTACAGGTATTTTATCACAAGAACAACGCTGCTGCAACTTTCGTTGTTTAAAAAAACATACCGTCGCTCATTCGGGCTGTCCAAAAACAGTATCCTCATGCTTTCCCGGGATCAAGCAGCTCAATATTGTGCGACTACACCACAAGAGTAATTAGCCTCTCAATACCAGCAAAACCACAGGCTGGATGGGCTGTTATACCGAATTTTTATCCTCCGCAAATTCTAACCCGACTAATTCGAGAGTACAGGGAGGGTAAAACACCACCTTGCATACAATTGAAGCTGAAATGGACAGGGCAAGGGGAACCAAAGGAAGAGGAACTGAAAATTAGAGTCCAAGGATGTTCAATTGATTCCTTTACCCTCTTCTGCAAACCATCATCTGTTGCAACTCACTTGCAGAGCCAACCATCTCCAAAGCAGCAAAGTCTTGCCCTGCAGTCTGCATCTGGTTCCCCATCACCACTGTCTTTAAATGCCCCCTCTCTGCCTCAGACGCCAAGCGAACCGCAAGCATCCCCTGCACAACCAACAGCCAGCATGGCTCTCACAATGAAGGTGTGAGTCTAGGACTCTTCGACGAAGCAATACTATATTCACAAGTGGGGTAGACCCTGATAATATTGTTAAAGTGCTCTACAGTAACTTGCTGCTGACTCCTGAAGAAAAGGCCAGAGCCACACAACAGACACTGACAGCCCAGCAAAAACTGGAGGAGATTTTCCAGGCGATGGAGCGTCGCATTGCAGTAAACCCCTGGAGACCTCCATGTATTGATTCAAGCTCTCAAGGCAGAACCTGCAATAAAGGCAGTCGGTGACAAAATTCAAGGTAAAGGAATCTAGCTATTGATCTCATAATACTAGCTACATCGCTATGTCTTTGTTTTTGCAGAGATTTACGATGAAGAACGTGGGAAAAGGCAGGAAGAGAGTAACAAGCATAGCATTAAACTAAACTATAATTCATGTCTTTTTGTTCGTTATTTTTTCGATGGCTGTTTTTGTGCCCACTAAAGATAAGCGCATGGGCGCGCGTAAGTTTTGAGTGCGTTTACACGGCTTAGCCTGAGTGCGTTTACACGGCTTGCTTTACTGCTTGGCTGAGTGCGTTACAGTTAGCGTCTCGTTCTCCTTGAAAGAAGACTCAAACAGGGCAGGAAGACTGGCGAGATCTCTCCTCCAGAGAAGGTTCGGATGCTCTCTGCAGCGGTTGCCAGTGAGACTGGCCAGTGGAGAGGCGTACGTACCTGAAGAAGCCACCTGTGGAAGGTGAGCCGAGGTAATCTGAGAAGGTATGGGATGGCAGTTGTCCACTATCCAGTACTCAGTACTATTTTATCCCTGTACATGTGGCAGTGCCTTATGGCAAAATGTGAATGCTTGTCCAACAGTGACACACCCCTCTCACACAATGGAGTTACCTGATACAGGGCTCGCTGGATCTAATTACACATCATAGCAGTGTTTTCATTACTTGCGAGGTCAGGGATGTTGTGCTTGTTTTGATGCTATCCTAATTAGAGCACATGTTCGTGCCATTATCTGTATACATATTTACAATTATGCACTCACTACAACTCTCCATCTCTAGAAGACAAAGAAATGAGTTGGTCCTGCCATAAACAATGCTCTTGACATTGCCATGGAGACTGACCCACTGAAGGTCAGACACTGCCACCAACTACAGCATGTGATTGAAGAGGTAGGTTTGCTGCCTCCCTGACACACATGTACAACCAAAAAGTGTCCATTTGTTGGAAACAAACGTACCATTATGCGATAGCCCATACTGTTGTGGTTAGTAGACACTGTAGCATTGTATATTTCCAGTTCTACGGCCAAATTTATGAGCCAAGTGCTCTAGAGGAACGTGTATGGTTTTGTCCAGTAGCATATACAGTACCTTACATTGTGTCTTGCACTGTACATGATGTGGTCCATAGTCAGATTGAGTAACACGTTTGCCATCTCTCCTCCATGCAGCCATATTTGGGGAAGACGTGGGGTTTGGAGGAGTCTTCCGCTGCTCTGCTAATCTCAGAGATAAATATGGTCAGTGTACTCTATAGGATGTGCATTCACCATGTACACAATGGTTGTGAATATGTTATGGGTAGTTGCTTTCCTATGCCTTCGCCTTGTACCTCTCGCCTGTACCTCACGCGTGTTGACACGTTTAATTTGTTGAGACTGAGGTTTACAAAATCGACGAATTACTTTTGTTTAGGTGTGTGTTTTTATTTGTGCAGATGTTTCTAGCTGTACCTTCATGCTTTATTTGGTGCTGTATGTACTACTGTACATTTGCACACGCGTTTTTTTGAATGTGGAAGGCACTGCACGTATTACACGTCATTTTTGATGAATGTGTGCATACAATAATATCCGTCGCTCCTTCACTTATGTATGTATGTGCCTCACACTTTCATAGAATGTAAGTATGGGCCGGAACTGGTTGTTACATGTACGTTTCGTTCTTCACCCGTTGCAGGCAGTAACAGAGTGTTCAACACCCCACTGTCAGAGCAAGGGATTGTGGGGTTTGGAATCGGTCTGGCCACTCAGGGCTCCACTGCCATAGCTGAGATTCAGTTTGCCGACTACATTCACCCAGCCTTCGATCAGGTGAGTCACTTATATTGTACACACAGATATACTGTAGATGCAAAGGTAGTCAGCATGAGGTCACGGTGCTCTTGAGGGATTTTTCGCTGGAAAGCGATTTACATACACACTTTGCTACAGTTGTGCGTATTATTGTTATAAACCATGGAAGCTTCGCTCATACTTGCAGTACACATACATAAAAGTTAAACTTCATGGTTGATGTAATTCTATAGTTTTGCAGATGCAAATGCACATTTCCTTGAGTTACGCACTACAATGTCTACACCTCGGTATGTTTGCCGTTTACATACCTGGATATTCATAACATCGATAATAATAATTATAGTGTGCAAAAACAAAACTTGTGTACTAATATAAGCTTCTCCACCCCCACCACTACCTCCGGCACAGGTGGTAAATGAGGCGGCCAAGTACCGCTACCGTTCAGCCAGCCACTACCACTGTGGTCCGCTGACGGTCCGGGCCCCGTACGGTGCGGTGGGCCACGGTGGCCACTACCACTCCCAGAGTGTGGAGGGATTCTACGCCCACGTCCCCGGGATCAAGGTATGGGTACACATACGTGTGTTTGAATTACACATTATGAGAGGGGCTTAGATATAGAAAGGGATTGTTGGTATCTGAGTGGATTCATGATGATGTAAGTGAAGGAATTAGTCATTCTCTCTGTGTACCCTACATAACACTGGGTGTGTAGGGAGAGTTGGGCCCATAAAAGACTCTTTAACCTACCGCCCCGGTTCTCAAGGCTGGGCACCCAGGGTCCTGCCTCTTTCTTTCTGTTTATATGTTATTGTCTGTGTTTTTGTATGCTTGGGTATGTTATTGTCTGTGTTTTGTGTGCGAGGTTCTTTCTTTTCCTCTCATAATTATTCTTTTAGCTAAACGTATTTCTGAAAAATATCATGGTTCACTTAGTTTGCATAGTTGTGGTTAACCCTCCATTATGCAAAGCATGTACAATATGCAGTGGATCTTCAGTAAAAATCACACACGAAATAGTCATGTGATGGTAACTCATACAGTACAGTTTTGTATGTACATGTACAATACAGGTCACGTGACGAAAGAGTCATGTCATTGTTGTTTCTGTGTATATATGACAGGTGGTGATTCCTCGTGGACCGAGTCAGGCCAAGGGTCTCCTCCTGGCCTCCATACGGGACCAAAACCCAGTCTTCTTCTTTGAGCCCAAGTGGCTCTACCAGGCAGCCGGTGAGAGACACACACAACTTGCATCTTTATGTACATGCATGCAGTATAGAGATATTGCAGTGTGATTTTGTGCAGTTGTGTGTTTGTGGGTGAGGGGGGGGCAGTGTTTTAGTTGTTTTTCCTTTCTTAAAACCTTCAGTCATTGTGCTAGACACATGGAGTTTCATGTCTTGTCGTTCAGTCTCATTCTTACAGCCCTTTAGATACCAATAGAGCAGTAAAAGCTGCACATCTCACCTAGTGTGTGTATTATGATGTTACTGTGCTATTTTAGCCGAAGAGGTGCCAGTGGCTGACTATGAACTCCCTCTATCAACGGCTGAGATACTTCAGTCAGGTTAGTCCTCCATTGCTCTGGTCTTCGGCGGAAACCCATGTGTGCGGGCGATCTGGTGCTCGTCGTAGACCCCGCGTCTGGGTCCGTCTTCGGGTCGATCGATGCCCCTCACTGTCTCATTGCTATTTCTAACATATTAAAGCTCCCTACTGCTAATCAAAACTGTCTGAAAGAATGTCGTTAACTGTGACTTGTGCTCTGTTCCATGACTGGGACTACATAATTCCCACATGTTTTATATAACGTTCAGCACCATTCTTATTGTGAACTATCCCTCTTGATCTCTCTCTCTCTCTGCAGGTAGTGATGTGACGGTGCTGGGCTATGGGTCCCAGATACAGATCCTGAGACAGGCATGTGAGATGGCTCAGTCAGAGTTGGGAGTCTCCTGTGAGCTCATCGACCTCCGCACCATCCTACCCTGGGATGAGGACACCGTCATTCAGGTTAGTGCAACCTTTTTCACTCTTAGTTTAAAGTTTTAGGAAGAGCATTTTTAGCAGTTAACAGAGTGCCACGCCTGTTTACAATGTGCACATGTAGTACAAAGGTGTTAAGTTGCTCTCACAAAAAACTAATGCACAGTCTTCAGAATAGTAGCTACGGTTCTAAATGTTCGGATACTAAAGGCAGCAAAAATGTACCGTTAGTTCATGTGGCATTGCTCAGTAAGGCACTCAATGGTAGACTTTGTAGTGCTGTGTGGAGTGTGCAATGGATTGTGCTCTCTCTCTCTCTGCAGTCTGTGTGTAAGACTGGGAGACTGGTAGTATCTCATGAGGCTCCACTAACTGCTGGCTTCGGAGCCGAGCTAGCGGCCACTGTTCAGGTACACACCAACCTTTAACCATTTTGTGTGTGCACCATAATACTCAAGAATACAGTGGAACCTCCGAATTTACACAATTTACATGTCAATCCTCTCAATGCGCGATCTAGCAAGCAAGAGAACTGTTGTCTGTTCGGCGCGTTTGCTGCATTCGCAAAAAATGCCCTGCGTTCACCTACTAGTAATTGGCGAGTGGGAGCGAGCCAACCTAGTTGTTCGTTCGAGTGGATTTTTCATCGTCTGTTCGTACTTCGTGTAAGTGCACATGCACGGCTTCGTTTACGTGATTCTGAATACGCAAACCGGTATGAAATTTCGCAATCGTCTGTATTATTATACGCTTACACACGCCGCGTGGTTAGCCAGCCTGATCGATCACTGCCTTAGCCTACTGCCATGCCAGCTGCCTGGTGGACCACGACAGACGAGTTGAAAGCGTAAGGTAAGTACCGTTCTGCTCACCTGCTCACCGTTCTGGCAATATACAGTACGCATGTAACGGCGACATCTGTATTCCACGAAAGGAAAGCTGTACGCTGACGGCACGTTATGCAGCCTGAACATCGCAGGCAAATCCCAAGTTGGGTCGCTCCCGCTCGCCAACAAGGTTCAACATTCTTCTAGTATTCTTTTCTCTCTGTCACAGGCGGAGTGTTTCAACCACCTGGAGGCCCCCATTCAGAGAGTGTGTGGCTGGGACACTCCGTTCCCGCTCATCTTTGAGCCTTTCTACATACCCAACAAAGTCAGGTGTTTCGACGCCATCAGAACTGTTGTGGACTATTGATGTCTGTTGCTGTTTAAAACATACATAAAATGAGTTTTTGCCACTTGCAGCAAACTTAACCTGGGTACGCATGTGTAGCCCACATAAAAAATTTGCGATGTGTAATGCAATGCACAATTTTGGAAGCAGCGTGCAATACCGACTTGCAGAAGTCGGCACATTTTGAAACGTTTTCACTCTGTATTGCAGCTCTAAATAATACACACCATCACAAATGTTGGTAGCATTCCTAAGAACACATTTGGCAGCGCCGTAAAGAATAATTACGTGGACTGGGCGGGGAAACAGATGACATGAGAGGTCCTGCTGCTTCTTATAGGGCCTCTTTCAACGTAAGGTTCACTTGATCGTTCAAGTTTTGCCAATCCCCTTTCCATACGCAAAAACCAGGGATAAGCAGCTAACACCAATTTCAATTATTTTCTCACGACCACAACATACACGGCTTCCAAAACTAATTTTGTACAAAGGTCATCGAAATAATAATTACTATTTGCCCATATATAATTTGGATAAAATTAGTTGAGTAAGTCTTCAGAATGATTCACTTGAGGGATGCGATTTCAACAGTAGCTGTGAATCCATTTGGTGTCTTTCCCCCACATATCATCAGCTTGTTGTTGGGGAGGATTGTTGCCATTGAATGACATCGCTTCACCATCATTTTGCTAATTACATTCCATGAGTTCGTTATTGCATTGAACTGTCTCACGGTGGGTGTAATGCTGGCATCGTCTTTAGCGTTTTCGCAACCTCCGACCACCAGTAGCTGGCCGTGAAAGGTCACCAAGGTTGGAAAGAATAGTGGAAGTGGAGCAATTTCTTTCCAGACTGGACCACTATTTGAATGTGGTTGTGGGTAGAGGAGATCATTCACGTAATATATTAGCACCGAGTCGGTGTGTCCCGTGTTAAGTCCTCCAGATGCGAATCCGCCACCAATGTACAGTCTCTCCCCACAGATGGTGGTTGTGGCTTGCCAGAAAGGGTGAGGTAGACTGGCAACTGTGGACCACTGTAATGTCTGAGTGTCCATTACCTCCACCGCCCTCTTTTCCTCTGAACCCCATCCTCCGGCCACTATTAGTGAAGTGTTTTTTGAAGCAACTGGTGGGTTATTGCGATGGTATTTCATTGGTGGAAGCTGTTCTGTCCACTTTTGTTCTTGCTGAAGACTAAGTAAAGTGTTTGTGGCTCTCCCTAAATGATGCCCTCCAATGATTGTTGGTTGTTTGTTGACTACTGCTATGGAGAATTTCCTTCTTGGACATTCTGGAAGAACTGCCCATTGCTTGGTCCCTGAATTGTATTGTAGCACTTTTGTATTACTGCATGCATCGCAGCAGAAGACATCATCACCACACACGTCAACTGAAGATCCGCATGTTGCAAAAGGAGCTTGGGGCCCATCTCTCCATTTCAGTTTCAGAGATCTCGTAGCTGCACTATTGGGTTCAACGTCAATTCCACTTTCTGCTTTCGGCAGACTTGTGGGGACTGGATTCAGCTGCCCTGTTCCTACACTAGTGCATCCTTTAGCCACACTTCCCATTGGCAGCGACCCTGCAGCGCAACACACACCACTTTTTGGTTGTAGAGTTCGTCTTCTTGGCGATCTATAGCTAGCGGCAATGCCAGTTTTTTCCTTTGCTATTACTGCGGGCAAACCAGTACTTGCATTTAACTGTCCTGTAGGTACAAAAACTTCTCCTTTCTGAGGAGATGTGGTGATATTCACGGCCATCGGAGCCACTTCGCTTTCATCCTTTATCTTTCGTTGCAGATCTTGCATCTCTGCATCCTTTGCCTGCAGTTTCCTATCCTTTGCCTGAAGAGCTGCATCTTTCATCTCCACACTATTTTGCAGAGCATTCACTACCTGTTCATTTTCTTGAGTGCACACTGGAAGTCTTTCGTTAAGGTTTCTTTTTGTTGTTTCAACTCCCAAATCTCTTTTTTCTTTTCGTTTAACTGTTGTTTTAGCTGCTGCTTCTCCATATCAAGCTCATGTACTTGCAGCTCGTGTGCCTGTTTTTCCAAGGCCTCGATTGTGTCCCTCATTTTGTGCTCTTGCTCCTGGTCCACCGCACTAAGTGCCTGACTTTGTGTCTGTTCGATACTGTCGTGGTAGGCAGCGCTCTTCTTCAGATCAATCGTACGGTCACAGAGCTGTTCTGCTGTTGGTCGCATGATCTCTTGTCTTGATATAGTCGAGGCTACTCTTAATCATAGGGTGCGTAGGAGAAATGAGATCAATGTGCTGCTTTCGACGCTCCATCTCGGGGATCTCTACACGAGCTCGGCCTAGTGGGAAACGAGAATCGTCATGTACTTCCACGGAAATTGTTTGAGGACCGGGATCAGGAAACTTGCGAGTGATGAGCTGAACAAAGAGAATGCCACAGGAGAAAATGTCCAGTTTGTTGGTGTATGAGGGTGGTTGGCCCATTGCCTCGGGAGACATATAGACATTTCCAGGGCAGTAGGTGTGAGTGTGGCGATTATCAGTGGCGAAATATTTTGCCATACCAAAGTCGGTGACCTTGGCTCGCCGATTACCGATCAGGAGTACATTGTTACTGCTAAGATCGCGGTGCAATATGCCATATGGTTATGGAGGTGGGAGAGAGCCTGTGTCACATTGTGGCCAATGTCCACTTGCACATGTAGAGGGAGAGGAAGATGGTTTGGTGGCCGCTCCAGGTAGCTAGTGAGACTCTCATCCATTAGCTCCATGAACAGGATGGGTGCCCCAGACTCAGGGTCTGCACATGAGCCAAGGTACTGGATGACGTTGGGATGCCGCAACCCGTTCAGGAAATCAATCTCTTGCTGGAAACGCTCTACGATTCAGTGAGAAGAAGGATCCCTGGTCCGGAATAAGATTGGATGGATAACTTTGGCGGCGCAAACGAGTTGGTTACACTTGGCCCTGTAGACGGCTCCATAAGATCCGTTCCCCAGTGATTTAATAAGTTCGACGTTACTGAATCCATATCTACCATGGATGTGTATAGGCTGAGCCATTAGGATGTCACTATAATTATATGTCAAGTCTCGATAAGAAATTGTCTGACTTAGCAGTCTGGCTACCTAAAATTAACACCAAATATTTATTGTGTATACTGGCTATCCAACTGAGGATTAGATCAGGCAATGGAGACGTGGTGTGACTTCAAAAAGTATGAACATGCAGTTTGGTCACCTGATTAATGCTGAGTGTTATTATTGTGTAGGAGCTACCAACTTTGTGCGGTAGCAATGTTAATCAGGTCTGGTATTGCATGAAAAAACTGCTCTTCTATATACAAAAACTGGGTGAATGCTAAGCAAATTATAGTGTGCAGATACTACCAGACTGGGAATTGCCATTGCATCATGCATCATACTTCCGCTGTATAAACTCTAGATAGTATTAATGTGTGCGCATGTCCAGTGCGAACAAACAGTTGGTTGACAGCTCACTTACATTGACAAGATGGCATATTTTTGGGGTGTATATATAGGAGTTATTATACAGAACTTCAGATGGTGCTAACGTGCAATACTTTGTATGGTATTAGCTATCAATGTCACGTAGGTGTGGGACTGCGACAACTGTTCACCTGCAGTAACTGGGTGAATGGAGGAGTTATAATACCTGTCTGAAATAGCTTGCACCCTTAAGTGTGATATCCTCATGGTTACTGTTAGCTGCTTCCTTCGATTATTAATATGCATGTGCATCACATTTTTTGCTAGGGACGAGGTTTCATTCCCCAGTGACTATCACATAGCTCAAAACGCTCAACTGCAAAACAGGAAGGTGTGTTTGCCACGGAATAGATCACACCCTTTTGTGCTGTATCCTCATGCATGATTATTTTATTGTATTTGTGTCTCTAAAACGCTTGGTACATTCGGAGCATTTTTGTGTGCAGGTAATAATATCAGATGGGGAACCTGTGGGTTTTTATGTAGCTAAAGTAAAGTTGGGCCACGGCGGGCAGGGAGAAGCAGAGGGATTATAGCTGTCCTCAGACGTAAAGCAAGCTGCCCTACCTTGGGAGAGGAAGTCAAGCGTCAACATGAATGTCTAAATAACCTGGGGAGCATCTTGTAATTCAATCCCTGCCGACACGGCCCAACATTAATATAGCTACAGAAAAAAAAACCAAACATTGACCTTACGTAAGTAATGTCACACATCTCCGAAAGTACTAGGGAAGAATTGCTTTTTTTCAAAACAACTGACTTGTGATGAAACTAAACTCTATCTTGAATGGCTATCACTGTGCCCCTTTGTGAAAGAGGGACTATACGCTGATCTTGGAGACTGTGAGTTCCAGGAACCCTTATCACCAAAGTCCAACCCGGCAGAAGAAGTGGTCAGGAGCATTACCACACCCCTCTGGGGTTTCTCCTCTCCATTATTATCCACAGTGATTATAGCTGCAAGACAAGGTATATACCATGATTTGGCTCGGGTTATTATTGTTGTAAAAAAAGATTCAAAGTAAAAATAGGAGGAAAGTTCTTAGCTTTTAAAACCAAGGGTAGCTATCAATTAATTAATTATGTATAATTTCTGTAATTTAATTTTGTGCTAATGAGTTTGACTTTGGGAATTTTGTTATTCTCATGCTTAAAGGTTTGGTTTCTGACACAAATATAGGGATTCCTGACCAGAGAGAGAGAAACAAAAGCGCATTATGTTAGGGCAATACGAAATCCCTACTCTATCAGCACACAGAAAGAGTTGTGGGTTGCCACTGATTCCTAATCATTCTCCCTCAAAACAAAGTGATGATTTTGCCAAGTATTAACACATTGATACCTTAAGCCAACTTGTTTACCGGAGTAAAAAAAAAAAAAATACACAACAAAACATGTGCAAGCAAACCTAAAAAACCACCCCCCCCTCAAAGACCACAAAAAAACTCACTTCAAAACGAGATGTTCTGGGGCATGGTACATGAAGGGCACGTGTCACTGATGGCGGGGGTATATAGCTGACCAGACTTGAGATATTCCCAGTAAAGATGATGATAGGCAACGATCTCAGGCTGGCATAT